TAAAAGATTGACAAATCTTTTTAATTATCTTTTATGGCAACAAAAAAGAAAACAAACCATCATTGATTTTCACTTTAAGGACTACTGTTAGGTCAAGTCAATATTTTTCTGTTCTTTTAATTTGAGCAAGAAATCATATATATCATAATGGTTGGTTTTTCAATATAAAAATTTATATCAAAAAATGTAAAATCTGGTTTGATATTTCCATTTTTCAGTGGCATATAGCTACATATCAATAAAAAAAATCAAAATTTATACTTCACTTAATTAAAATACATAAGCAAGACCAAAACTAATAGGCAATTACTTGTGTATAGACAGACAAAAAATTTACCTACTTTAAGTCAAAATTCTCACCTAGTACTGAAGCAACCTTCACAACAAACATCTGGGTTGTCTTCCTTTTTATGGCATATGCTCAAATAATGCAAACTAATGTTAACACACGAAAAACAAGTAAACAAATAAAAAATGAAAATAAATATACTTGTTATCACAAAGTCAGGTATAATTTTTCTTTTGCGGCCTCCATATTCATTTTAGGCCCAAAGAACTCTGATAAATCCATGATTAAAAATAAATCTACAAATACCTTAAATATCTTTTTAGCATCTTGATTTTAACTCATTTTGAGGTATAAACATGTCTTCCCTCATATATTTTGTATAATTCTACTTTTTATGATGTAAAACTAATGGGATTTAAACCTAATTCTGATAAACTTTTAAATAGACCACTTTTTAGGTCTCTGTACAGCACTCAACACTGACTTTTTAACATCATATCCCCTTGGAGGCAGAGTAACATGGTGTGAAAGCCTAAAGAGAAATCTTCGCCCTGAAGGCAATTACTGAACCTAAGGCCTCTGTTTCCTCAATTGAAAAACAGGTATAATCAATGGAGGATTAAGGACCCAAAGCACAACTTGAATACCATGTATTTTGTATCTTACTAACAATTTAAAGTATTTGGCAGTAATGAAAAGAAAAAAAAAGAAAGCAAAATACCTATAGAATGGGCTTATTGTGAGGATTTAACAAAGTAACACTTGGCATAGTACCTAAAAAAAGGTATTAAATAAAATTCATTTCTTTCACACAGCTTGCATCAAAGTATATTTTTAAAAGGAGATTTTGGAGAATAAGATAATTTTGACTCATCCCAATATACCATGAACCTGTAAACGACCTCAAATACAGTATTTAGTGTCACATGTTCCTGCAGAACATAACATTTTTTACAGTAATACTTCACCATATTAGATTTACATGTAGATGACTTCCCAAATTGGCCAACAAACAGAGGAAGACAGGCTAGGAAAGGCAAGCTACACTCAGATATATTCAATACATTTGTCTGGCCCTTGGCAATTCCTCTTTCCAGGTCAATATTTTGCAGATATCAAAGCAATTACCAACTAAAAAGCCTGGCAAAATGGTAACAAAGAATTCACTCATGACAATTAGAATTCTTGGCTTAATATTATAAACACCTCACAGAATTTCTGTTTTTTAAAGCCTCTTAACAGGTCCTGTTCCCATCAGTTCAAAGAAATTACCAACATTATAAATCGAATGCTAGTAAGCTATATCAGATTTTCTGTTGTAGGCATTTTTTTTACCTCACAAATACTACATAAAGCTCCTTTTTAAATGCCATAAACCTATTTTTAACCTTCATTTAAAATGCAAAATGCCATAATCAGTTTATAAAATGCACTTTAAACAACTCTTTCCCATGTAAAAATTTAAGCAAAAGTTACACATTCAAAAATTCAAGGAACATAAAATTATTCTTCCTTCGCATGTATGAATGGAGGCAATTTTTAACATATATAAAATACTCTAAAGAATATAAGTTGGATTTAAAGTGTCTTTTTTAAAAATAATACAGCAATAAATTCATTAAGCAATTACCCACCATGAAGTATAAAAACTATGTAAAAGAACACCATGACATAATGCTGTAATTTTTATAAGGACTAGAGAACAGTAATAATGATTCAGAATGTAGTGCTTTATAAATATTCAGTACTATTACACAATAAGTAAGAATACCAGGGCAAAAACTGTGGTCACAGATTTTTTTTTAATATTAAAGGACATCATCATCTTCATTACTGAAATACCTACCTCAGTTGTCATTACAGGTTCCATTGTTTGCAATAAAATATTTGCAGTTTTTTAGGTTATTTATTTCACTAGTAAGGGAAAGGAGGTAAATATTGCTGAAAATTAAAACATAAAAAACACAAAAGCCTTGACAGAATAAAGCATTTTATATGACATCTCTTTCCACCACTAATTGTAGGACTTAATCACTATCTGAAAACTAAAGATGTCAACAAATGCATATACATTAAAATCTGCCTAGCCAACATAGCTATTCTGCTAAACAATATAAAATTTAATTTCCTTATTTTTTGTAAAACCAACGACTTAGAACAAGATTACTGATCTACAAAGTTACCATAGCCACATTCAATCAATTCTTCCAATTTCATCTATCTTTACTAAGTATCTTTTTTCCTACTAGTAACCAAGAGTACATTTGGCAGGCTACACTATTTCAAGTATCTGACACTGAAAGTTACTTTTTGGGCCTGAATCCAAGGATGAGAGTAAATTATACATTTTAGAGAAGCTTCTTTAACAATAAGCAAAGTGAGACAATAACAAGGCTTTGATTCTTCATATACTTTTTCTGACTGTAAAAGTAGTGTGAAAATTTGAAAAATACAGAAATGTATTTTTTCATTCACCCATAAATCTTTGTTAACTTTTTGGTAGATCACTTTCCAATGAGAATTCAACTTCTTTTATGTAACCAGATACTAACAAATACGCAGGAAAAAAACGAGTGTATCCTCAATAAATAGACATGTTATGTAAAGCATCAATTATTAATGACCTGTTAATTTCAAAGACATCCAAAACATGTTAAGCGGTAAAGGGGGGGGGGGGAGCGAGAACCTCACAATTCAGACATTGATTCCTAAACTGAAATCGTTTCACAGTTTTTGTAGTGTCAACATTTTAATGGTAGCAAGCACCAAGACATGACAGGTCTTACACAATAACAGTAGCATCCCTATACCAAACAGGCTTTACTTTTATTTTTTTTTATTCATATTTCAATGTTTTTATTTTTACCATTAAAAAAATAATTTTAAAACATAAATTCAAAGACTGAGCTATTTTTTTTGAAGCCCAGCATTTAAATTGTTAGCGTTTCTGGCCTGTGAGATAGCTTACCAGATTTTAAAAAATAGCACTTTTTATATTCCAATCTTCTCTCCTAACATAAAAACAAGAATATTCCTTAAATATAGCCAATTTTTTTGTTCCAAATGTTGTTTATGAAACATTGTTAGAAATACAGATGTTAGAATTACAAAAACTAAAATGTCTTAACAACATTCCAACATTTAGTAAGCCAACTACTTCGTCTCATAAAAGAATAAAACCAATGATAATAACAGTACCTAATTTTTTCCCTTGAAATTTGGTTGAACCTTGTTTCTAGCCCCAAGGGAGGATTTCCTCTACTCAAGCTATCAAAGGTCTTATGATTCCATTCTTTTCTTCTGTCCAATGGTTAACAAAAATTAGCCTAACAGACAGTAATTCAGATTTGTTCCTCTGACCTTCTTACACAAGCACCTCTTAAAAGAAATCCTTCCAGAAACAAAAGCAGCGAAGTTTGAGGAAAGAATCGTCTAAGCATTTCCTGATAGTGACAGAAGGTCCCGCTGCTAGGAATACACTACGCTGACCCTAGAAATAGCCAAGACTCCAAACAAAATTGGCCACTTTTGTGTCTAGGAAATTAAATTGCTAGCTGAAGAGATGCTAAGCCGTGACCCACGACAGGTCTTTGGGGGACATACTCATACACGGGACGAGCACCACAGATTTCAGCTAAATGCGTCTGCCGTCTTTGCAGAAGAAAAGCTGATTGTTAATGGCCATGTGACACTGTAAGATCCCAGAAAGGAAAGGGTGGGAGGAAGACCGAAGAGTTCAAGGCAGTTCAGGGTCAGAACCCGCTCAGGCATCCTGTCATTAGCAAACGTCCCTCAGGCTGAAGGCAAAATACCGCTTACCCGAAAAGGAGAGGGTGAAAAGTAGGGGGAGAGGGGGGTGGGGGGAACCACAGGAGAGCTAATGTGGCGGTGAGGGGGTGCGGGGAGGGAGGCAAGCTGGAGCTCTCCAGCTCATTCGGGGAGCGAAAGCATCGGGCACAAAAACGCTGAGAAAGGCGACTGCGATGGAGACAATACTTGGCAGCACCCTCATTTCCCTCTGCCCATTGGTTCCTTGGGTTTCCCACATTTCCTCCACCTCTGCTCCTGACCAACACTCCGGGGACTGGCTCGCCTGCGGGAGGTGGCCCGAGCTTTGTCTCGCCCCGCGCCCCGCGCGAGGGCTGCTCCGCCCCCGCCTCCTCCGCGCGCCCCACCCGCGCACACCCCCGGCGTTTCCAAGGAGCTGGGAGCACCGCGGCCGCCGCCTCCTCGCCCACCGCCCGCAGACCCTCGTCCCTACCCTTTCCTCCGAGGTGCGCCGCCCGCGCTCGCGGCACCACCCCCGCCCAGGGGACCTTTGTGTCTCGGGGGACTTTCAACTGCTTCCCTCCGTCCGCCTCGGGGGGAAACCAGCCTCCCTCAGAGACCAAAGCGGCAGCAAGCACCGGAGGCGGCGGCGGCGGCGGCTCGAGGCGCCTCCCGGGAAGGAGCACAGCACACACCCCACCTCCCGGAAATGCCTCGACCACCCGAGGTCCTCACTGGAACCCCCGAAGGCGACAGGCACACGCGAGCCGCTGCGCCGCGCCTCCCTCTCTCAACTTCCCGGCCAGGCCTGAGCCTCCTGCGCCCCCAGCAGCCGCCCGCCCCAACCCTCCGTCCCAAGCACCCACCCCCCGCCCCTCTCACTCAACCCGGGGTCAGCCGGGCAGCAGGGAAAGCCCAGCCCCGACGCCCGCCGCCAACTCACCAGCAAGTGCGGAGGCCGCGTCCCGGGCGAGGCGAGGCGCCGAGGGAAAGCGGCTCCGCCGACGCCCGCAGCGACCGGATGCAGGTCCGGGTCCCAGCTGCTGGCAGACCCAAAGCGTCTCCGAGGCGCAGGCCTGCCTCGCTGCAGCTGCCTTCTGACTCTCGCCGAACAGTCCAAAGCCTCGGAAGGAGCGGCTCGGGTCCCTCACGCGTTGCCAGGTCCCCAGGTCAACATGGCTCCCGGACCGCCGAGCCGCGCGGGCGGCCCACTAATCCCCTCGGAGGAGCCGGGGCGGGGGCGGGAGCGAAGCGGGTAGGGAGGCGCCGAGCCTGGCTGAGGCGGCCCGGCCGAACGCGGGCTCCTTCTTCTCTGGGGCCGGACGGTGATGAGCAGAGGAGACCGCGGGCGGCCGCTTTCGCTCGCTGAGTGTGCGTCGCTTTCTCACTCGGCAGCTGCGGCTTGACGCCTCCGCCAGTGTCCCGGAGGAGAGCGAGAGCGAGAGCGAGAGAGAGGAAAAAAAAAAAGACTTTTATTGAAACGATCCAACCAGCGGCAGCAGAGAAAAGCGACCGGCCGCCGGAGCTTTCCCCACCCCCGCTTCAGCCGCTCGCTGGGGGCAGCGCGACCCCTGCCGGCGGCGGCGGCGGAGGGAGGTGGAGCTGGCGATCCAGGGGCGGAGCCTGGAGGGCAGGGCGGGGTATCCCCGGGAAACCCCCACCCGGACGTGGGGGGCCTCCGTCTCCCTTGCCTGCCAGCAGGAGCGGCCCCAAAAGGGTAGGAGGGGTGAGAAGACTCCGGACGACTGAGAAACTGAGGCAGCGTTTGTCCACAGCTACTGAGGAAGAAAGTATCTGAATAATTCAGCCCCTTCATCTTCCCCCCACCAAAACAATTCTTGCTTAAATGACCTAGAAGTTATGTAATTAAGATAACCGATGCCACGGTTCTTCAGTGGTTTTCTAGAGAGTTGATGTCAAAGGACCCACACGTGAGTATGTAGATTGCGGTAACTTTATTATGTGTGGGTACCAATGAAGCACTCATTTCCGCACGCAACTTTTATTCATTTAAACTACAGGTTTCTTTATATTCTATTCTTGGCAGTATACTAGGTCCTCAAAGGACTGAGAGTCTAGCCGGAGTGAAAGATAGTCAATAAACGATTATAATAAAAATCTAAGCTTTATGAGAAGGGAAATACACGGTACTATGAGAACAGAGGAACTGCTGCTGCTGTTGGTTAGGTTTTTGCTTGAAGATGGAGGGCTGTGGAGATGTTGGCCTAGTTTCTGTAAAGGTTTTTACTTTCTTCTTTTCCAGAGACTAAGAGCTAGTTCAGCAACGAACAGCAGAGTGAAAGTGTAGACAAACTCAAGTAATACTGACCCACTTTTTTCCACTAATAATGATAAAAACAAAGTAAAAACAAACATAAAAGCCTAGAGGGAGATAATGAGAAGACTAAAAAGAAGAGGATGGGGACCGGATGCAGACAACCTAAACCAGAAAAAAAATGTAACCACATAAAAGTCGTGGTGAAGTGAGATATAAATATTTTTTTTCATTTTAATACCAGGAAATAGACTTAAATGTTTAATGGAATTTCAAATCATATTATTCTAAAGACCTGACAATTACCTTTGTGGATTCCTGGATGAATCCTTTCTCCCTAAAAATAATGCCTGCTGACTTCTTTTTCCTACTTTGTTAGGCAAAGTTGAATGTATCTACTGTAATATCCAACAATTATACATTTCAGTCAGACTTCTCCCATGCGTCTAAAATTAGCAGGATCCATAAATTGGCAACATTTATGCTCTATGCATATTTAACACTTGCTTATCATACAAGAATGCAAATGTTCACACAAGCTTTCCTTTAGAAAAAGTGTGCTCTTTTTAAAAAGCACTGTTAATGATGCTTTTTAGATTTGTCTAAGTCAAAGAACTTTATAAAATATCAAGAAGAAATATCCTTTTCAGAGGGCTTTGAAAATTAGAGAAATCGATATTTACATAAAGCCTGCTTGTATGACAAGTATTTTTCATATACTTTCATTATTTAAAAATAATTGGGTGCCCTCTTATGGTCCCTTAGTAAATATTAAAAATTATAATAAAACTGAGGCTACAAAATGGCATCAGTAATTCCCCATACCTACCATTAGATTGGAATTACTCTATTAGAAATCAAGAATGTTCTAATTGCCTCATCTAACGCTGCTAAAGAGCACTTTCCTCTTGCTATATTTTTTATTACTATAATAAAGATTTCATATTTAGAACTGCAATGATTACTTTTTTAATCTATTTATTCTTTCCATCAAAAAGTATTTACTGACTGCACATGATGTACCAAGCACTGTTCTAAACACTGTAGCTATAGAAGTGAACAAGAAAGATAAGGCATTGCCCTCACAGAACTGTTTTCTAGTGGTAGAAACAGGCAATAGACATGCAAATCACTTAGGGGATTAATAAGGGAATTAAAATCATGAGATATACAATGAAGAAAATGGAACAGTAGTGAAGAAAAAAATGAAGAAGAGAAAATGGGAATTTTAGGTGGCGAGGTCAGAAAAGGCCTGATGATTGGCAGAAACTAGAAGTCATGGGTTCTTCTTTGTGTCACTGAGTAAATTATTTGATCAGAAAAGATGGCATGAAAAAAGAAATGTGGTATATACATACAGTGGAATATTAGTCAGCCATAAAAAAGAAGAAAGCAGTGCCACAACATGGGTGAACCTTGAGGACCTTATGCTAAGTGAAACAAGCCAATCACAGAAGGATGAATACTGAATCTTTACACTTACATGAAGTATCCTGAACAGTCAAAGTAAGAAGTAGAGAGTGGAAGGGTGATTATCAGGGGCTATAGGATAGGGGAAATGGGGAGCTGCTGTTCAATAGGTGTAAGATTTCAGTTATGTAAGATAAGATCTAGAGATCTGCTGCACGTTGTGTCTATAGTTAACAATATTACTGTACACATATAATTGGTTAAGAGGGTAAATCTCATGTTATCTGTTCTCATCACAATAATAAGAAAAAGGTAAAAGTCACAATCAAAAAAATGGGTGAGTTCATTTTTAATTACTTTTCTAAATCGATTTAAAATTCATACACCATGCTTTTGGTGTGTTAGTTGGCCTTTTTCCTAGGTTGTAACATAGATTTTTAACATTGTAAATGAAAGCTAAATTATAAAATTACTTACAGGATTTCCCAAGCTGTGCTTAATAGACATTCCCTAGCACTTGGTGGGGAAGAAGTATTGAGAAAGACTTCCAAGATCAAATCCACATGGGACATGCCCCCATACTGTAGCTTCCTTTTGCAAATGCACAGAGCACATTTACATATTAAAAGCTGAAATGTTCTGAGATTAATTTTTAATAATATAAAAATATTTTATAAGAATATAATATTAAAAGTTTTTATAAATATAACTTTTTTCCCAGTTAAACCAGTGATTCCCAAAATGCTTTGACCATAGAACAGCTTTATCATAGGACATATATAAAAATATTGAAGAACACACGTATGGTAATGAGCACAGTTTGGGAACCTGCTCTCTTGGAGCTGTAGGCGTTTACTCTGTAGCCTTGGGAAAGGAGGCCCTTAAAGGGGAGAATTAAAAGGTCATTGAACTTGAACAGAGAGAGAAGGGACTGAAGCCGGAAAATCTTTGCAGTGATTCACACTTTTAGGGTGACATAGCTTAGGAAACAAATGTGAAACATATATGGGTAAGTTATAGAAAATGGAAACTTAAGCTGGTTTCAGTTCTCTATAGCAGTGTGTCTCAAACAAAGGTCCCTGAACCAGCAGCAGCAATATGACCTGGGAATTTCTTAGAAATTAAAATTCTCAGGCCCCACCCTAGATGAACTGAATCAGAAACTCTGGGATGGAGCCTAGCAAACTGTTTTAACAAGGCCTCTAGGACTCTGTTGGACAATAACATTTAAGAAGCACTTCTCTACACAGCATCTGTATAGAGTTCTACCGATATATAAAACAATTGTCCATGTGTCTGAATTTCTGAATTAGTAATAATTGTAAAAAATTCTCAAAGAAATTAGTTGAATTCCAAGTTGGGAAAAAGCTTTTTAGCTGGCTCTATGCCCTATTTTGCTAGACCAAACCATGTAATAAATCCTTTTTTTTTTGCATCAGAAGTGAAGTACAGCAGGCTAAGGGCAGCAATCACCTGTCTTTCTCCTAATACCACTTGAGCAAAATAATTTTACATTTGGTAAAAATGGCACTGCAGGCATACCGTGGAAATATTGAAGGTTCATTTCCAGACCACCACAATAAAGTGAGTAAAGCAAGCTGTAATCTTTTTTTGCTGGTGGAGGGTCTTCCATTTGTAGAAGAACATAACACCTGCAGAGTGCAATGCAGTGAAGCACAGTAAAAGGAGGTATGTCTGTATGGGAAAGACAAAGAATATTGTCAAAGGATCTTTTTTAACCTTTTAAAAAACCAACTAGCCTAACCCTAACATTTACATTTTTTAATAAATATTTTGTACCATTCCAACATTTGCAAAACAGCTTTGTATCACTGCATGATATGGTTGTAGCCCATAACTTTAAAGGTTAACTGTAGAGATTTTACATAGCCAGACCTATTTAAAATCAACATTTCCAAAGACATACAAGTTACAAATTTGGGGAGGGGAATTTCTGTTTTGTGTACATCTAAAATTTCAGATTTGCAGTAGTGCATTTAATTGTCAAGTCTTGATAACAACTGAGATATTTGGTACAGTCCAGGGAGTGCTCTAAGAAACTTTCAGAGAAGTGATGTCATGTGTCCTTACAAGGGAAATGAATCCACAAACCAAACTCAGTTTTGACAGTTAAGGAAGACATAATTTTCAAACATTTCATTTAAAAATAAAGTTGTTCTCTAGATGCTGATAGAGTGCTTAAGGAGTATTAGTCTCCTGGCTTCCAGGAAGTTTCCACACAAGGCTCTAGTAAGAGACTAAGAAGGGATTAAATCATTTTCCTTCTTCCTTTTTAAACTGTGATATTAACTGCTTTTAACTAGATTGATGCTCTGTCTATGGGGTGGGGGGGAAAGTGGGTTCCTACTCAAGTAAAATACATTTTAAGCTTATTTGAGCTTCCCTAAAAATGAAGCACAACATGAAACCACCTTTAAGATTTCACAGATTCCTCCCTTATCAAGAAAATAGTGTTGAAAAGTGGGAGCTAGAGCAGTGAGGGTTTTTTTCCCCCCTCTTGAGCATCTTAAGAAGGACGATGTGGAGTTAGCCACTTTCCCAGGGGCTTGTCAAAATGATCATTGGAGTCTTTTCACCTTTTAAAGAATGAGAGAAGGGAGAGAGTAGTAGTGGCCTTCTGGTTTTGTCATCTTTGAAACCTGGCCCAGTGATTTGTTTTTAGGGGATTTTATCAGACTGATTTTTAGATGTTATCTTTCTAGTCTTTAGCTATTACTTCAGAAAGGAAAGTTTTTTCAGTAAACTAGCTTTGCCTTACCCAAGTCAACATCATCCCAGGATCATTTTAGAGTTGATATGACCTGTGAAGAAGAGAC